CGATTGTTGAGTTCTTCTACAAATGGTTCTTGCAGGGTTGCTGTGAGAAGCACAACTGGTGAAGGAGCTGCAGTGATTCCAGTTGTCCTTGGCCTTGTAGTTGTTGTTGATCCTATAGGTGTAGATCAGTGAATGAGGAGTCAAGGTAAACATTATTTGGCACATTGCCAAGCACTGATACTTTGTGGTGGATATTTAGGTACACGTGGTAAATGTTTACTTACGAATGACTTCGATGGAGGCTGGATCGATACTGAGGTTGAAGGTGTTGCTTGCGTTATTCACAGCAACTCTCAAGGTTTCTGCAACAACATCGGCCTGTGGGATTCGATCGGGTGATGCCGTGTTGTTGAACTCGAGCCCCACCTCTGCTTGGATGTATCCCATTTGTGGCCTTGCATCACAAAAGTACATTTCTTTAATCAACCGGTTTTATTTTAAAATATCACGTTTGCTAAACTTTGACTTTAAATTTTTTTTCTAACAATTCACTCAAATTCTTTACTACACATGACCAATTCCCACAAGATCCTTCTCTAGCTATGAGTTGATTAACTTTAGGTCAGAGACTTAAAGGGGGAAAACGTTACCGAAATTGAATGACAAAGGTGCGGATGAAAAGAAGCCCGAATCTCTCACTGAAGATGAAGTCGCACTGTAAGCGGGAAACAGTGGTGAGAAACATGAAGCATAAAAGTCACAGGGCTTTTTAAGTGAAATCAAACAGAAATTTAAAGTTGAGTCACAACAGCAACAATTGTTTGAATTTACTTAAAATTGTACGTACGATTGCTACAACTTGTCTTTCAAGATTTCTGTATTCCGCGCTGCTGCGATTGTTGAGTTCTTCTACAAATGGTTCTTGCAGGGTTGCTGTGAGAAGCACAACTGGTGAAGGAGCTGCAGTGATTCCAGTTGTCCTTGGCCTTGTAGTTGTTGTTGATCCTATAGGTGTAGATCAGTGAATGAGGAGTCAAGGTAAACATTATTTGGCACATTGCCAAGCACTGATACTTTGTGGTGGATATTTAGGTACACGTGGTAAATGTTTACTTACGAATGACTTCGATGGAGGCTGGATCGATACTGAGGTTGAAGGTGTTGCTTGCGTTATTCACAGCAACTCTCAAGGTTTCTGCAACAACATCGGCCTGTGGGATTTGATCGGGTGATGCCGTGTTGTTGAACTCGAGCCCCACCTCTGCTTGGATGTATCCCATTTGTGGCCTTGCATCACAAAAGTACATTTCTTTAATCAACCGGTTTTATTTTAAAATATCACGTTTGCTAAACTTTGACTTTAAATTTTTTTTCTAACAATTCACTCAAATTCTTTACTACACATGACCAATTCCCACAAGATCCTTCTCTAGCTATGAGTTGATTAACTTTAGGTCAGAGACTTAAAGGGGGAAAACGTTACCGAAATTGAATGACAAAGGTGCGGATGAAAAGAAGCCCGAATCTCTCACTGAAGATGAAGTCGCACTGTAAGCGGGAAACAGTGGTGAGAAACATGAAGCATAAAAGTCACAGGGCTTTTTAAGTGAAATCAAACAGAAATTTAAAGTTGAGTCACAACAGCAACAATTGTTTGAATTTACTTAAAATTGTACGTACGATTGCTACAACTTGTCTTTCAAGATTTCTGTATTCCGCGCTGCTGCGATTGTTGAGTTCTTCTACAAATGGTTCTTGCAGGGTTGCTGTGAGAAGCACAACTGGTGAAGGAGCTGCAGTGATTCCAGTTGTCCTTGGCCTTGTAGTTGTTGTTGATCCTATAGGTGTAGATCAGTGAATGAGGAGTCAAGGTAAACATTATTTGGCACATTGCCAAGCACTGATACTTTGTGGTGGATATTTAGGTACACGTGGTAAATGTTTACTTACGAATGACTTCGATGGAGGCTGGATCGATACTGAGGTTGAAGGTGTTGCTTGCGTTATTCACAGCAACTCTCAAGGTTTCTGCAACAACATCGGCCTGTGGGATTTGATCGGGTGATGCCGTGTTGTTGAACTCGAGCCCCACCTCTGCTTGGATGTATCCCATTTGTGGCCTTGCATCACAAAAGTACATTTCTTTAATCAACCGGTTTTATTTTAAAATATCACGTTTGCTAAACTTTGACTTTAAATTTTTTTTCTAACAATTCACTCAAATTCTTTACTACACATGACCAATTCCCACAAGATCCTTCTCTAGCTATGAGTTGATTAACTTTAGGTCAGAGACTTAAAGGGGGAAAACGTTACCGAAATTGAATGACAAAGGTGCGGATGAAAAGAAGCCCGAATCTCTCACTGAAGATGAAGTCGCACTGTAAGCGGGAAACAGTGGTGAGAAACATGAAGCATAAAAGTCACAGGGCTTTTTAAGTGAAATCAAACAGAAATTTAAAGTTGAGTCACAACAGCAACAATTGTTTGAATTTACTTAAAATTGTACGTACGATTGCTACAACTTGTCTTTCAAGATTTCTGTATTCCGCGCTGCTGCGATTGTTGAGTTCTTCTACAAATGGTTCTTGCAGGGTTGCTGTGAGAAGCACAACTGGTGAAGGAGCTGCAGTGATTCCAGTTGTCCTTGGCCTTGTAGTTGTTGTTGATCCTATAGGTGTAGATCAGTGAATGAGGAGTCAAGGTAAACATTATTTGGCACATTGCCAAGCACTGATACTTTGTGGTGGATATTTAGGTACACGTGGTAAATGTTTACTTACGAATGACTTCGATGGAGGCTGGATCGATACTGAGGTTGAAGGTGTTGCTTGCGTTATTCACAGCAACTCTCAAGGTTTCTGCAACAACATCGGCCTGTGGGATTTGATCGGGTGATGCCGTGTTGTTGAACTCGAGCCCCACCTCTGCTTGGATGTATCCCATTTGTGGCCTTGCATCACAAAAGTACATTTCTTTAATCAACCGGTTTTATTTTAAAATATCACGTTTGCTAAACTTTGATTTTAAATTTTTTTTCTAATAATTCACTCAAATTCTTTATTACACATGACCAATTCCCACAAGATCCTTCTCTAGCTATGAGTTGATTAACTTTAGGTCAGAGACTTAAAGGGGGAAAACGTTACCGAAATTGAATGACAAAGGTGCGGATGAAAAGAAGCCCGAATCTCTCACTGAAGATGAAGTCGCACTGTAAGCGGGAAACAGTGGTGAGAAACATGAAGCATAAAAGTCACAGGGCTTTTTAAGTGAAATCAAACAGAAATTTAAAGTTGAGTCACAACAGCAACAATTGTTTGAATTTACTTAAAATTGTACGTACGATTGCTACAACTTGTCTTTCAAGATTTCTGTATTCCGCGCTGCTGCGATTGTTGAGTTCTTCTACAAATGGTTCTTGCAAGGTTGCTGTGAGAAGCACAACTGGTGAAGGAGCTGCAGTGATTCCAGTTGTCCTTGGCCTTGTAGTTGTTGTTGATCCTATAGGTGTAGATCAGTGAATGAGGAGTCAAGGTAAACATTATTTGGCACATTGCCAAGCACTGATACTTTGTGGTGGATATTTAGGTACACGTGGTAAATGTTTACTTACGAATGACTTCGATGGAGGCTGGATCGATACTGAGGTTGAAGGTGTTGCTTGCGTTATTCACAGCAACTCTCAAGGTTTCTGCAACAACATCGGCCTGTGGGATTTGATCGGGTGATGCCGTGTTGTTGAACTCGAGCCCCACCTCTGCTTGGATGTATCCCATTTGTGGCCTTGCATCACAAAAGTACATTTCTTTAATCAACCGGTTTTATTTTAAAATATCACGTTTGCTAAACTTTGATTTTAAATTTTTTTTCTAATAATTCACTCAAATTCTTTATTACACATGACCAATTCCCACAAGATCCTTCTCTAGTTATGAGTTGATTAACTTTAGGTCAGAGACTTAAAGGGGGAAAACGTTACCGAAATTGAATGACAAAGGTGCGGATGAAAAGAAGCCCGAATCTCTCACTGAAGATGAAGTCGCACTGTAAGCGGGAAACAGTGGTGAGAAACATGAAGCATTAAAGTCACAGGGCTTTTTAAGTAAAATCAAACAGAATTTAAAGTTGAGTCACAACAGCAACAATTGTTAGAATTTACTTAAAATTGTACGTACGATTGCTACAACTTGTCTTTCAAGATTTCTGTATTCCGCGCTGCTGCGATTGTTGAGTTCTTCTACAAATGGTTCTTGCAAGGTTGCTGTGAGAAGCACAACTGGTGAAGGAGCTGCAGTGATTCCAGTTGTCCTTGGCCTTGTAGTTGTTGTTGATCCTATAGGTGTAGATCAGTGAATGAGGAGTCAAGGTAAACATTATTTGGCACATTGCCAAGCACTGATACTTTGTGGTGGATATTTAGGTACACGTGGTAAATGTTTACTTACGAATGACTTCGATGGAGGCTGGATCGATACTGAGGTTGAAGGTGTTGCTTGCGTTATTCACAGCAACTCTCAAGGTTTCTGCAACAACATCGGCCTGTGGGATTCGATCGGGTGATGCCGTGTTGTTGAACTCGAGCCCCACCTCTGCTTGGATGTTTCCCATTTGTGGCCTATCATCACAAAAGCACATTTCTTTAATCAACCGGTTTTATTTTAAAATATCACGTTTGCTAAACTTTGACTTTACATTTTTTTTCTAACAATTCACTCAAATTCTTTATTACACATGACCAATTCCCACAAGATCCTTCTCTAGTTATGAGTTGATTAACTTTAGGTCAGAGACTTAAAGGGCTGAGAAAACTTCGTTATGAATTGGCGCTATAAATTGAATTAATTAAAGGGGAAAACGTTACCAAATTGAATGACAAAGGTGCGGATGAAAAGAAGCCCGAATCTCTCACTGAAGATGAAGTCGCACTGTAAGCGGGAAACAGTGGTGAGAAACATGAAGCATAAAAGTCACAGGGCTTTTTAAGTGAAATCAAACAGAAATTTAAAGTTGAGTCACAACAGCAACAATTGTTAGAATTTACTTAAAATTGTACGTACGATTGCTACAACTTGTCTTTCAAGATTTCTGTATTCCGCGCTGCTGCGATTGTTGAGTTCTTCTACAAATGGTTCTTGCAGGGTTGCTGTGAGAAGCACAACTGGTGAAGGAGCTGCAGTGATTCCAGTTGTCCTTGGCCTTGTAGTTGTTGTTGATCCTATAGGTGTAGATCAGTGAATGAGGAGTCAAGGTAAACATTATTTGGCACATTGCCAAGCACTGATACTTTGTGGTGGATATTTAGGTACACGTGGTAAATGTTTACTTACGAATGACTTCGATGGAGGCTGGATCGATACTGAGGTTGAAGGTGTTGCTTGCGTTATTCACAGCAACTCTCAAGGTTTCTGCAACAACATCGGCCTGTGGGATTCGATCGGGTGATGCCGTGTTGTTGAACTCGAGCCCCACCTCTGCTTGGATGTTTCCCATTTGTGGCCTATCATCACAAAAGCACATTTCTTTAATCAACCGGTTTTATTTTAAAATATCACGTTTGCTAAACTTTGACTTTACATTTTTTTTCTAACAATTCACTCAAATTCTTTATTACACATGACCAATTCCCACAAGATCCTTCTCTAGTTATGAGTTGATTAACTTTAGGTCAGAGACTTAAAGGGGGAAAACGTTACCGAAATTGAATGACAAAGGTGCGGATGAAAAGAAGCCCGAATCTCTCACTGAAGATGAAGTCGCACTGTAAGCGGGAAACAGTGGTGAGAAACATGAAGCATTAAAGTCACAGGGCTTTTTAAGTAAAATCAAACAGAAATTTAAAGTTGAGTCACAACAGCAACAATTGTTTGAATTTACTTAAAATTGTACGTACGATTGCTACAACTTGTCTTTCAAGATTTCTGTATTCCGCGCTGCTGCGATTGTTGAGTTCTTCTACAAATGGTTCTTGCAGGGTTGCTGTGAGAAGCACAACTGGTGAAGGAGCTGCAGTGATTCCAGTTGTCCTTGGCCTTGTAGTTGTTGTTGATCCTATAGGTGTAGATCAGTGAATGAGGAGTCAAGGTAAACATTATTTGGCACATTGCCAAGCACTGATACTTTGTGGTGGATATTTAGGTACACGTGGTAAATGTTTACTTACGAATGACTTCGATGGAGGCTGGATCGATACTGAGGTTGAAGGTGTTGCTTGCGTTATTCACAGCAACTCTCAAGGTTTCTGCAACAACATCGGCCTGTGGGATTCGATCGGGTGATGCCGTGTTGTTGAACTCGAGCCCCACCTCTGCTTGGATGTTTCCCATTTGTGGCCTATCATCACAAAAGTACATTTCTTTAATCAACCGGTTTTATTTTAAAATATCACGTTTGCTAAACTTTGACTTTATATTTTTTTTCTAACAATTCACTCAAATTCTTTATTACACATGACCAATTCCCACAAGATCCTTCTCTAGTTATGAGTTGATTAACTTTAGGTCAGAGTCTTAAAGGGGGAAAACGTTACCGAAATTGAATGACAAAGGTGCGGATGAAAAGAAGCCCGAATCTCTCACTGAAGATGAAGTCGCACTGTAAGCGGGAAACAGTGGTGAGAAACATGAAGCATTAAAGTCACAGGGCTTTTTAAGTAAAATCAAACAGAATTTAAAGTTGAGTCACAACAGCAACAATTGTTAGAATTTACTTAAAATTGTACGTACGATTGCTACAACTTGTCTTTCAAGATTTCTGTATTCCGCGCTGCTGCGATTGTTGAGTTCTTCTACAAATGGTTCTTGCAGGGTTGCTGTGAGAAGCACAACTGGTGAAGGAGCTGCAGTGATTCCAGTTGTCCTTGGCCTTGTAGTTGTTGTTGATCCTATAGGTGTAGATCAGTGAATGAGGAGTCAAGGTAAACATTATTTGGCACATTGCCAAGCACTGATACTTTGTGGTGGATATTTAGGTACACGTGGTAAATGTTTACTTACGAATGACTTCGATGGAGGCTGGATCGATACTGAGGTTGAAGGTGTTGCTTGCGTTATTCACAGCAACTCTCAAGGTTTCTGCAACAACATCGGCCTGTGGGATTCGATCGGGTGATGCCGTTTTGTTGAACTCGAGCCCCACCTCTGCTTGGATGTTTCCCATTTGTGGCCTTGCATCACAAAAGTACATTTCTTTAATCAACCGGTTTTATTTTAATGTATCACGTTTGCTAAACTTTGACTTTAAATTTTTTTTCTAACAATTCACTCAAATTCTTTATTACACATGACCAATTCCCACAAGATCCTTCTCTAGCTATGAGTTGATTACCTTTAGGTCAGAGACTTAAAGGGGGAAAACGTTACCGAAATTGAATGACAAAGGTGCGGATGAAAAGAAGCCCGAATCTCTCACTGAAGATGAAGTCGCACTGTAAGCGGGAAACAGTGGTGAGAAACATGAAGCATAAAAGTCACAGGGCTTTTTAAGTGAAATCAAACAGAAATTTAAAGTTGAGTCACAACAGCAACAATTGTTTGAATTTACTTAAAATTGTACGTACGATTGCTACAACTTGTCTTTCAAGATTTCTGTATTCCGCGCTGCTGCGATTGTTGAGTTCTTCTACAAATGGTTCTTGCAGGGTTGCTGTGAGAAGCACAACTGGTGAAGGAGCTGCAGTGATTCCAGTTGTCCTTGGCCTTGTAGTTGTTGTTGATCCTATAGGTGTAGATCAGTGAATGAGGAGTCAAGGTAAACATTATTTGGCACATTGCCAAGCACTGATACTTTGTGGTGGATATTTAGGTACACGTGGTAAATGTTTACTTACGAATGACTTCGATGGAGGCTGGATCGATACTGAGGTTGAAGGTGTTGCTTGCGTTATTCACAGCAACTCTCAAGGTTTCTGCAACAACATCGGCCTGTGGGATTCGATCGGGTGATGCCGTGTTGTTGAACTCGAGCCCCACCTTTGCTTGGATGTTTCCCATTTGTGGCCTTGCATCACAAAAGCACATTTCTTTAATCAACCGGTTTTATTTTAAAATATCACGTTTGCTAAACTTTGACTTTACATTTTTTTTCTAACAATTCACTCAAATTCTTTATTACACATGACCAATTCCCACAAGATCCTTCTCTAGTTATGAGTTGATTAACTTTAGGTCAGAGACTTAAAGGGGGAAAACGTTACCGAAATTGAATGACAAAGGTGCGGATGAAAAGAAGCCCGAATCTCTCACTGAAGATGAAGTCGCACTGTAAGCGGGAAACAGTGGTGAGAAACATGAAGCATTAAAGTCACAGGGCTTTTTAAGTAAAATCAAACAGAATTTAAAGTTGAGTCACAACAGCAACAATTGTTAGAATTTACTTAAAATTGTACGTACGATTGCTACAACTTGTCTTTCAAGATTTCTGTATTCCGCGCTGCTGCGATTGTTGAGTTCTTCCACAAATGGTTCTTGCAAGGTTGCTGTGAGAAGCACAACTGCTGAAGGAACTGCAGTGATTCCAGTTGTCCTTGGCCTTGTAGTTGTTGTTGATCCTATAGGTGTAGATCAGTGAATGAGGAGTCAAGGTAAACATTATTTGGCACATTGCCAAGCACTGATACTTTGTGGTGGATATTTAGGTACACGTGGTAAATGTTTACTTACGAATGACTTCGATGGAGGCTGGATCGATACTGAGGTTGAAGGTGTTGCTTGCGTTATTCACAGCAACTCTCAAGGTTTCTGCAACAACATCGGCCTGTGGGATTCGATCGGGTGATGCCGTGTTGTTGAACTCGAGCCCCACCTCTGCTTGGATGTTTCCCATTTGTGGCCTATCATCACAAAAGCACATTTCTTTAATCAACCGGTTTTATTTTAAAATATCACGTTTGCTAAACTTTGACTTTACATTTTTTTTCTAACAATTCACTCAAATTCTTTATTACACATGACCAATTCCCACAAGATCCTTCTCTAGTTATGAGTTGATTAACTTTAGGTCAGAGACTTAAAGGGGGAAAACGTTACCGAAATTGAATGACAAAGGTGCGGATGAAAAGAAGCCCGAATCTCTCACTGAAGATGAAGTCGCACTGTAAGCGGGAAACAGTGGTGAGAAACATGAAGCATTAAAGTCACAGGGCTTTTTAAGTAAAATCAAACAGAATTTAAAGTTGAGTCACAACAGCAACAATTGTTAGAATTTACTTAAAATTGTACGTACGATTGCTACAACTTGTCTTTCAAGATTTCTGTATTCCGCGCTGCTGCGATTGTTGAGTTCTTCTACAAATGGTTCTTGCAAGGTTGCTGTGAGAAGCACAACTGGTGAAGGAGCTGCAGTGATTCCAGTTGTCCTTGGCCTTGTAGTTGTTGTTGATCCTATAGGTGTAGATCAGTGAATGAGGAGTCAAGGTAAACATTATTTGGCACATTGCCAAGCACTGATACTTTGTGGTGGATATTTAGGTACACGTGGTAAATGTTTACTTACGAATGACTTCGATGGAGGCTGGATCGATACTGAGGTTGAAGGTGTTGCTTGCGTTATTCACAGCAACTCTCAAGGTTTCTGCAACAACATCGGCCTGTGGGATTCGATCGGGTGATGCCGTGTTGTTGAACTCGAGCCCCACCTCTGCTTGGATGTTTCCCATTTGTGGCCTATCATCACAAAAGCACATTTCTTTAATCAACCGGTTTTATTTTAAAATATCACGTTTGCTAAACTTTGACTTTACATTTTTTTCTAACAATTCACTCAAATTCTTTATTACACATGACCAATTCCCACAAGATCCTTCTCTAGTTATGAGTTGATTAACTTTAGGTCAGAGACTTAGAGTGTGGTGCACCTGTCTGTCTGTGCCCCCTCTGCCTCTCTCTCTCTCTCTCTCTCTCTCCCCACGCCCCCCCTTCTTTTTTTTTTTTTTTTTTTTTTTTTTTTTTTTTTTTTTTTTCCTTTTCTTTTCTTTTGTTTTTTTTTTTTTTTTTTTTTTTTTTTCTTTTTAATTTTTTTTAATTTGTTTTAACCCTCTTTTTTTTTAATTTTCTGTGATAAATCTTTTTTTAATAATTGGCCCTTTAAAAAAAAAATTAAATTAAATTAAATAAAGGGGGAAAACGTTACGAAATTGAATGACAAAGGTGCGGATGAAAAGAAGCCCAAATCTCTCACTGAAGATGAAGTCGCACTGTAAGCGGGAAACAGTGGTGAGAA